TGGGTCAAAATGTCAGAGTTTTCTGACGAAGAGGGCGTATCACGAAAGCTTATTCCATTGTACTATGGCCCTTGGCAGGTTCTTAAGGTGATTGGGGATGAATTTGGTCCTTCGTATGTGATTGACGTGCCTCCTCATTTGCGCACATATCCGGTCTTTCACGCGTCCAAACTGTTTCCACACATCGATGACGAGACTTTTCCCTTCCCAGATCCTATGATACCTCGCCCTATCGACGGCGGCCATGAGATAGACATAATCCTTTCCCATGAAGGAAGAGGGAGGAACAGACAATACAAGGTTCACTTCGTCTATCACCCGTTGAACGAGTTTTTCTGGATCGACCGAAAGGAGCTGCTAAGAAACGCTCCACGTGTTGTTAACGCTTATGAACGACAGATCGCGGATGCACAGACTGCTAAGTTTTCTGCAAAACTCACTCCTCCCGGTCTTACTAAATCTCTCTTTCTGATCTACGCCTACAACGCATTTCGTGCTGACTCTGAATGAGTTACTCGCTCGAAGGGACCTCGCTCTTGAGAGGGGGGTAGTGTAATGACCCGCCAAAACACAGACTGAGAACACTGCTGATTTTTGGGATTTGCCGCTGGAATGAATGCCTTACTGAGATTCCCGCATTCTGCTGTGGTTTCTAAGGGCATACTCACACACGGTGAGCAAAGTTGCAAAATCTGCAATTTTGCAATTTCCAATTTGAGATTTATGTGTGCCACATACTCACACACCGGTAGCACAATAGCAAAACGTGAATGAGACATGGCCGCAACTTTCTGAACAATGCTCCATTTGGTATCAGCGTGGTCACACAGCTGATAGCAGATGGTGGAATTTTTTTTATTGGGTTTTATGTTGTTGTTGTTGTTGTTGTTGTTGTTGTTGTTGTTGTTGTTTTTTTCCTTCTAAAGTTTCGGCCTGCACAGAGGCGCGATCTTCCCGCTTCTCCAACCTGTGCCACATATGGCGAGCAGACCAGGTGCTATGCACCTATGAAAGTGGACCACTTGCAAGACTGGCTGTGGCGGGAGTGCAGTGGGAGCACGGAGACCAGGAAGCAGGGGGGAGGCCGGGCGGAACGTGCTTCTATTCTCGCGGAGGGCCTGACTATTCTTTCGGAGGGCCAGACTATCCGCATGCCGGAACGGGGGAGAAACGGGCGGAAGGGCACCGCAAGCGCGTATGGGACTCACCTGGGGGGGCAAGGGAAACCCCTTACAGACAGGCAATCTGCTGTGTATAACGCCAAAGATAGTACAGCCGTTGTATGACTTCACGGCTGGAGACCAAACGTAGCATTTTTGGACGATAGTGGGCAAGAAATTCCGTTTTGTGGCCTGCGGAGGTTCTAGTTTTTTTTTTTTAATAAGAAAATCAATTGCGAATTTGCTAGGACCTCTAGAGGTCCTTCCAATTTGCTGCACCCCGCGGCCCAGCAGGCCGCTGACAAATACTACATGCTTTGTGATCTTGGTGGGGGCGGGGATAATGTGTGACTGCAAAAGAAGAGCAGATTTTGCGATTTTGAGAATTAGACCCCTAGTGTGAGTATGCCCTAAGTCTGTGTGTGGGTGCGTGCCTGCTGGTTTGCATGCCTGCCTGAGTGCTTGACGGTTGAGTGTGTGTGTGACCCGCAAGGGTACTTGTTGGTTGAAAGGCCCTGCAGGGACGGTACTTACCTGTGGCCGTGACTTTGAGGGTTGCAGCGGGGGAAAACACTCAAGTAGCGGGGGTAGGCCCGCGACACTTAGAGCAGCGGGGAAAAACACTCAAGTAGCAGGTCGGCCGGTATCACTCAAGTAGTGGTAGGAGTGCCGGGTACTGGAGGCCGAGCAGAAGAAGACAAAAAGTTGGCATTTTTAGAGGCCCAGTAGCGGTAGGATAGAGGTTGGCCGGTACCAGTCCAAGTAGCCCGGGTCTAGGGCCTGTCCGGAGGATAGCAGAGCCTGCAATGATGTTTCCCTCCGAAAGGGAGGAGGTACCGGTTGCTGGGAGGCCGGTCGGCCTAGGAAGTCACCGCCCAAGAGGCCAGCAGGCCACTATATCTTCCGGAGGAGCAAGTAGCTCCACCTCATTTGCAGTATGCAAGGATTGGCGACATGCTGCTGAGCGAAGCGCTGGACTGGTACAGCGCTGCCTGGAGGTGAAGGGCAGCTGGGCGCTCAGCCTGGCTATGGCGAGCAGCCCAGCCTGAGGAGGTGGAAGAAGGGGGCAAAGGAGGAGAGTGGCGAGGCACCTACCTGGCTATGGTGGACACCATCTTCATCACCTTGTTGGGCGCTGCATCTGGAAGGCCCCAGTTGGGGTAGTGCCGCACCAAGGAAGCTCGAGGCAGAGTCAGGCATGGCGGCTTAGTCAGCAGCGGCATAGCTGCTTTGGGTTGTCCTTTGGACAGGAGTGCAGCGCCATAGCTGCTTTGGGTTGTCCTTTGGACAGGAGGGCAAGGCCCTCAGTAGTCCGCCATAGCCTAGGCATGTGAGAGGAGGAAGAAGGAGGGAAGCCCTAGCTATGGTGGACTTGTTGTTGTGGTTGTTGAGTCAGCAGTAAGAGGGAACTTCAGATATTGATTCTGGTTCATCCACTCATTGTGATTATTATTGGAAGAAGAATAAGATTGGCGAAGTGAAGGAGGAGGAAGGTGGAGAGAGAAGGGGGGATTTGTCATTGGTCTCGCTGGTGTACATCTTCTTCTTCTTCTTCTTCTTCTTCTTCTTCTTTCCCTCTTCTCTGGTCTCTATCTCTTTGCAAGTGCTTTCATTTCTTTCGCAATTGGGTGGCATTGTCTTTCATTGTGAATTTGCACTTTGGGAATGACCAGGATCGTAACAAAAGCCAGCATGGCAGATCAGTTGCAGAAAAGACACCTAGAGCATGCCATTGGTCCCACTAGCAACCGGATAGGATAGATTCTGAAAAGAGTTTGTGTGGCAGTTGAGTGACCCAAATCCTGCCGTCGAAGACTCGTGATCCCATGGTCAGTACGGACAGAAGTTGAGTTTATTCCAGAAAATGTGGCAGTTACTTTCTGCACTGTTGCTTTGCAACCACCACCATCAGATCACAAATGATCTGATGGCTGGGAAGCACTCTGCCGTGATTTCAGGTGGGAGGTCTCTGTTTCTTTTTTTTTTTTGCCTTTCTCCTTTTTTCTCACCCCAGAAATTCGTAATGCACCTGTCAGGCCGCTGCCACTCAGTGTCACACTGGATCGGCCACACTCCTATCCGACTGCTAATGGGACCATGCTCCTAATGGATTGAACAAAGAGAAAGGACAAACAGAGAGGAGGGAGAAAGGGCCAGACAAATCCTAAACAGTTGCCACAGTTATTGGCTTGTCCTGACACTCCCTTCTGGTCCGTAAGACCACCTCCCCACCCATCCTCTCGGCAATTCTCCTAGTGCACCCCTATCCGTACTATCCTACCTCAGTATTGAGTACTTGGGACTTGGACGATCCAGTGAAACGCTTAACTTGCTTGGATTTTATTTTTTTTCAAGGGAGAAAAACGAACGATGGAGTTCACGCTTGTTGAACTGTTTCCTGCTTACAAGCTGCACATATTCACATCAGGTATGCCAGGAAAATGACGAGTGTACCGACTGGCGTAGCTCAGTTGCTACACCCGTGAACTGTTGAAATACAAACCCGAGTTTGAACTCCACTGCAAGCAGACGAGTGAAGTTCTAGCTATGGTGAAGCTCAGCCACTAAGACGTGCAAAGCACAATCAAAGGAATATGCAACGCAAGAGGCAATCCCATTCTTCGCCGGGGGGGGAGAGAGAGAGAGAGAGAGAGAGAGAGAGAGAGAGAGAGAGAGAGAGAGAGAGAGAGATTGGTGGCTAAGCTTCACCTAGAAGAGTTCTAGCTAGTAGCTACTGATGCACTCGCCACTTTCCACCTTTGGTGAGCAGTGCACTGAGGCACTAATATGTCATACTGCTGTCTTAACGCGAATAGAACGCCTGGTTATTATCGCTGCATCTGGACTGAAAGTTGTCCCAAATACAGGGCGTTGTATTCGGGTGAAGACAGTAACCTACTCATAGATATCAGTAGGGCTCAGTAGGCCATAGGTATTAGCAACGAGCACATGATAGGTATTAGCAACGAGCACATGAACTGTTTCTAATACCGTACAGAGTTTTCATAGTAATTGTCAATCAACCCTCACTCATACGACCGACAGAGGCAGACTATCTGTTAGCATGAGAAGACAGTAGAAAAGCGAAAGGAAGTGCACAGGGCAGGAGGAAGGTCGCTGGGGGGCTAAACAGACACAAATCGATGGATTAAAAGTACAGAAAAAAAAAAGAAACAAAAAGCGAAATGAAGCAACCATACTGCTAGTTGATTTTCACATCTGGAGGGATGACCCAGAAGCATTGCCAAATCAACG